TCCACGAGAAAGAAAAACAGTAAAAAAAAAAAAAAGGAAAAAAACAACAAAAAACCAACAAACCAAAACTCAGATCACAAAAGGCTTGGCTGCTGCAAATGTGCCTGGAGTAGGAAGAGTAGCACCAGCTGAACGTTTACCTTCGGATCTTCATAGACCTCGGGGTCCATGTGCAAAATCTGTGGGTAAAGGGCTATCCAGTCTCCTTTCCTCAAACCAACTTCTTGATTCCCCTCGAGCTTGAGAACAAAATCCTCCTGGCTGATGCGGATGTTCATGGAGGACGAGCACATCCGTAAACTCTCGTTTAAGGCGCTCTCTGCGATGAAACAAAAGCAGAGGGAAGGGGGGGGGGAAAACATCAGAAATATGGAAGATGATTGGAAGTTATACAGGGCTACAGCTGCTGAATCTCGACAGGTTTAGTAGGGTCACAGCTTAGAGAAAAAAGGAGAATTTATGACCTTTGGAAAAAGGGGCAGGCCACGCAGGAAGATTACAAGGGTATAGCAAAGTTATGTAGGGAAAAGATTAGGAAGGCCAAAGCCCATCTAGAACTCAACCTGGCTTTGGATGTTAAAAACAATAAAAAGAATTTCTATAAATATATTAATAGCAAGAAGAGGTCTCGGGAGAACCTTCATCCTCTACTGGATAAGGGAGGTAACATAGTGACCAAAGATGAGGAGAAAGCTGAAGTCCTAAATGCCTTCTTTGCCTCAGTCTTCAGTAGTAGGACAGGGGGTTCCCTAAACATCCAGACCCCTGAACCAGCAGGCGGGGGTGGAGAGCAGAGTGAAGCCCCTGCAATTCAAAGGGAGGTGGTGATGGACCTGCTCCAACACCTAGATGTAAACAAGTCTATGGGACCAGATGAAATCCACCTGAGGGTACTGAGGGAGCTGGCAGAAGTGCTTGCGGAGCCACTCTCCATCATTTACCAGCAGTCCTGGCAAAATGGGGAGGTCCCGGCCGACTGGCGTCTGGCAAATGTGATGCCCATCCACAAGAAGGG